CTCAGCATCTCATTTAGAAGAGAGTCAACCTCTTGCAATTATAGCGATGTATCTGACAGTAAAATCCATTAGCTTAATGAATTGATCGCCAAGGAGAGGGACATGTTAATTCAGTGAGCACACTCTTTGGAGTAGTGTGCTTTACCCTCAGCAAGACTTTTCCTGCTTTCCTTCCTGTGCTGCTGGGTGACAGACGCACTGAGGGACAAGGAGAAAGTGCTGCTGTCTAGTAAAGGATTGAAAGATTATTCTGGTTTATTATAACTTAATGCTTATGTTTTTCTTTTCAATGTTTTAACCATTAATCCAGCAACGTTGATGAAAATAACTTTTTTGGTAGAGAAAACAAAAGCACATAATAAAATTATGCCAAAGCTGCCTATACTGCAAACATCCGTCACAGATTTGACAGGTGTGTTCACCCTCGGTCTCGTCTCTAATTGAAGTGGTTTAAATCCTCCAGGCTGCAGAACAGTAACAAGCCACCTAATATTTGCTACTGTGTCTTAGTGCTGTCGCTTTTTCACCTGAACATGAACTGCTGCTCAAACATGGGAAAAGTTAAAATATATCTGTATTTTTTAAAATAAAATTAGTTAGTACACTCACATGTAGACAGTATAATGTGGACTGTGGGACGAAGTGCTAACCAGTACCGTGCAGCCCTGACAGGGTTGTGTTGTCCCAAATCAAACACAGCCATTGTGCAGTCATTTGAAAATGAACATTTTATTTTCCTGTGTGTGCTCCCTGTGTCATGGGGCAACGTGTCCTCACTCGTCTGCCGCCGTTTTCACAAGTGTTTGAAAATGTTTGGCCCCTTCCGATCCGCTACACAGCCAAGATGGTGACCGTTGAGGGTGGGAAGTGTCCATTGTTTCACACTGAACTTTTTGAGCGCACCATCCATGTACGGCACGTTACCAATCTTGTCGATGTGAATGCACTTATGCATTCAAAACAGCAAGAGTGAGTGTGGAAGTACATGAATTGAGACAAAGCCACAGTAAGCACAGCAGGACTTGCACTCCAATGAACCGTCTCTCACCCACTGTATGGAGAAAAGTAGCAGGTCGAGCTGAAGGAATAATCATGACACCAAACCATCTGAGAAGTGAGGTGTGGAAGCATTGTGGGATCAATGCCATAGATTGAAAAATTGTGGAGAAAAGTAAAGCTGTTTGTGTCATAGTAAGATCAGCTTGTCACTCAAATGCAGCAGCGGAGGTAATGCAAATGAACAGAACGACCTACAGCGTAGTTTAGGATTAAACTGCATTGATTGCGTTCAAATTTGTTTGTCCTTATTTTGAAAAGGTGCCAGCCCCACAGAGTCAGAGAGGACAATTTGTCAAACAAGCTAAATTATTTATTTGTCTATTTGTACAACAAATGACTTTGAAGGTGGTGAAGTTCTGTTCTGCATGTCCCTGTCAGACTCAACAATGAGATACTTATTTAAGGTACATCAGCAGTACAAGGTCAGTCAGTCGTCCTCCACTAAGCTGTTTGTTCTTCGTATGCTGCGTTGCTGTTACGGAGGGATCTAACATGAGTGAAAAATATAATCTGATCCATTTGAGATGTTCTTTGGAGGAGGTTTAGGGGAGATAAAAGGCCTAATATAAAGTGTAATTTTTATTTTGGTTGTTTAACTGCCATCCATATCTCCAGCAGCAGCAGTGTCACAATGTCGACATGTTCTCAGAGTTGCAGCGATCAGATTTAGTTTGGTAAATATAATATACAGAACAGGAGCTCAAAATGGCCAAAACCACAGAAATAAATACTTCGTTAATTCTGTAGTGATGTGCCCTCTCCCCTGCTTCTTAATTATTCTTCTCTACAGCTGTGCACTCTGCAGTAACGCTAAAATAAACTGAATTCACATGCAGACAAAAGTTAGGGTCAGTGGTTATATCCTCACAATGAATACGAATAAATGCTTCCTGGCCTCCAGCATAATGACGCATTATTGTGACATACTAGGGAAATAAACACACAAATTGTTCATTTGTGCTCTTTATCTGTTTATTCCACATTGCAGAGTCGTGGCAATTTGGTCTGAAACTGAGGCAAAAATGCAAACTTAACAATGGAGGAACTCACAATGAATCCTTCCTCTAGCTGCAGAAAATAAAATCTGGGATAGGAGTTGTTTTTGTTTTTTTTTGGGCTTTTGCTGATGCATCTCCTCATGCTGTTGCCACCAATGCTTCTGCTCCTTAACTGAATTTAGGGTGATTAATCATTCATTTCCAGCATCTGTGCACCCTTGCTAAAACAGGCGGTGGGCCCAACACTGGCACAAGCCGACAGAGCTCTGAAAGCCGCTCATTTATGTTGTTTGTCCTGTAGCGTATGAACAGGAAACGCTGCTGCTCTTGACTGATTACAAGACTGAGGAGGAGAGCGGTGTCACTGATTTATTTATATTTCACTTCTTCCTCTGCAATTTGTCTGCACACACTTGGGCCCCTGACATGTTTTATCCTTGTCTTGTCAGTCTGGCTGTGGCCTCTGGGCGGCTGGATGCCAGAGAGCAGAGGGGCAGCAGCTCAGAGGCAGAGGACGTCCCGCTATAAGGTCATGCCATGTCCTGGAAAGGTGATGCGTAATAATGAAGATGAAAAGAAAGTGTTGAAATCATCCTGTTGTTATGAATAATATAGAGTGATTCAGTTCAGTAAATCGTACAAAACCAACATGCTTTTGGGGTTATCCTGCAGTGTGTCAGAGAAAATAATATTCATAGTAGAGCCTGTACTATGAGGTGCAAGTGCTCCACTTACAGTGTATGGTATATATCATACCCTAACCCTAACCACTAGGCCTCCAGGATGCTTTTAAATGATCTCACTCAGTAACCCTAACCCAAACTTCTAAACTGAAGGGATCTTTAAACATTTACCAAAATCAAAACACTCAAACATGTATATGGTTTATGGCCTCAAAAATCCATTGTCTTATATTTATATATAGATATATATTATTAAATGACTTTTAAACTTTAAAGTCTTCTGTTTCATGCATTCTCCTAAGACTATTCTGTCATATTCCTCATATGTATTATTTGCTGTACCTGCAGCTCCAGGCAGAAAACAGTGTGTTGTGAAGTGGCTCCAACACACAGAACTCATCATTTATTTGCAAAGCATCAAGAGATGACACAGGAAGTATAGAGAGTACCTTACAGCTTACAGCATCCAATATACGTAACAGCACTAAATGACAGAGGCTTTTACTTATGTACTTAATAGAGATGATCCGATACCACTTTTTCCTCACTGATATTGATTCAGATACCTGAAGTTGTGCATTGGCTAACTAATACAGAGTACTGATCCAATACCAATGTGATTTAACCCCCCCCCCCCCCCAAAAAAAAAAAAAAAAACAAAAACAGAAAAAAAACAGCTGTACTGCTAACCTTGCATGGATGCGATTGCCTTCATTGTTTTATGGGAAATGCTGTTTAAATAATTTGCTTGTAGTAATCAAGTCGTCCTTTTACATTGTTAATGTAGGATCTTTTTATACCTGACAACAAATGGAAAAAGAATTTAAAACTATTGTAGCAGTACTGTAGCTGTCACATGCTGTCACATTACTTATTTCTCAGATCGTCTCACCTTGAGCATGTGTGTATCTCACTCACTGACTCAAGTCGAAATGATTGGCTGAGTAGCATCATGTGACCAGTGCTGTGAAGGCAACGTTAAAACAGATGACTTTGTCAAAATGTTCTAATTCTCAATAATTTATAGGTTACAGTTCCGGGTCTGGATAGGACAGCATCTGGGTCTGGACCCCTGTTAGTGACCTTGGCCAACGGCTAACGTTGCGCTATTTATCGGATTGGTGCATAAAATCTCATACTCGCAGATTGCCAATCCAGTATTTAGGTAATTTTGGAGGAATTTTTGATACTATTATAAGAATGGGATCAACTCTAGTACTTATTTGGTGCGTCCAAAAACAGGAGTCTAGTGAAAATAATTGTGTAGCTGGCAAGAATCTGAAATAAGTGATCATTGGAATGCAAAAGTGGACAAACCTGAATAAAACTTAGCATTAGCTTTAAAAGTTCCTTTTTTTTTTTTCAGTTGTACCTCAATTTCTGGGGAAGAGAATTCAAACAGGTTGGAGAGGATTTGCTGTCAGTATACCCACATGACCTCAGCTCTCATCTGTCCTGCTGCTCCTAATGAAGACGTGGCTGAGTAAATGAGGATGAGTTGAGCCTGACTGCTTCCAAATATGAAATGTGAACCCCTAATGGAAGCCAGGCTGAATTAGTAATAGAAAGAGAAGACAGAAAGAATTGGCTCAGATGTGCCTGTGGAAAGGGAAATAAAAGCTTTTTGCAGCTTTCTCTCCCATATTCTCCCAACATGCAGCACCGGCTTCACTCATATATTTTAATGAATTTCCAGGAAAAACTCTGTCAGCGTGATCTGTTGTTGTTATTTATTTATTGTTGTCAAATATAATTTTGGTTTCGTGACTGAAGTTTTAGTGAGATGTTGAGATGATATTAAATGGTTTTTCTGACTCATTGCTTGCAGAAGCTGCTCAGCGTCTGTCACTAACTCAGATGCTTGACGTGATGAAATATTGATTAACAGCGATGAAAGTATGAAATGAGATTATTGTTTACTTGCTTTATTATATCTTGGTTGGTTTGTTTGTGCTCCCTGTAGACTCACAAAGTAAGGCTGCATTATGGTGACAAACAAAAATCCAATGTATTATTTGTGTAAATAGTGAATATGTGGACATCACTTTAATGTAAATTTCTTTTTCAGTCCTTATTCAGTTAGTGAATGTGGTCCAGTGTGCGTCAGCCTTTCAGTTTGTAGGCCAGGCATTCAAAACAGTATCAGAACACGTCACATCTCAGGCTTTCTGAAGCATGTTCTGTTGAACTGTATTATTGCGTGTTCAGTTCTTGGTGCATCCAGGTCAATAACCATGTCTGAATTTGTCTCTTTCTCCAGATGAAGTCAACAGAGGTGGACCAAGGGCTTTTCACAGACAGCTACTGCAAAGTGTGCAGCGCTCAGCTCATCTCCGAGTCCCAGAGGGTCGCCCATTATGAGGTGAAGACTGCCGTTCACATTACCTTACATGACTCTGATACACTGTACTCTTGTGGAGTTAATGAAAGGCCTAGGGTCACGCTGCCTTGGCTCCCAGAGACACGATCTATACACCTGTGCCCTGCACCTTACATAAATACATCACACACCGGGAGTTTACCCTATCATTTTTTCATTTTACCCCACTGGAGAACTACCCTGGAAATGAAGCAATAACAACAGCAGAAATTGAACTTTGGTTGTATTTGCTGCTCTTGCTTCAAGTGGTGTTCATGCATATTTTCTATAACTAGCTATTAAAGGTGGCATGTATAGCATTTTAACCCCAACACATCATCTGACTCACTGATATAATTGCAGTAAATAAGCTACAAAAGCTACACTGCATATACATTCTGTTGCACCCTGCTGTCACTTCTCTCACTTTGTCTTGCAAAATGTGGAATTGTGTAAACACATGCCGCAAACATGGCGGCTATTCCAGCAGAGTGAGCGGCCAATAGTAATGTAAAAAAACCCCACCGAGATCAGTTTTAATTTCACAAGAATAATCACGTCCATGCACAGAAAGCCTCTCATGTCATATTACATGTGTGTTTTGTGGCTATTTGCTGTGTTACCAGGAGTTAGATGGAGGGTTAATATCAGTTTTGTTTCTGAGCGTTCAGTGGATAGGCAGGTATGTTAGCTTGGCACAAGGGTTTGAGTTGTGGGGAGGGGGTTAGCCTCTTCCAGAGAGGAGAAATGCAATGGTTTGTATTTTCACATTGTGTCCTCTTAGCTGCTAGCAAGCTGCTGTTAAGTTTACATTCAAAAATTACCTGGCTTAGTTCTGAGTCGGAAGGTGTGTGTGAAGCCCACAGGTGAGAGGACAGGACTTGTGGACTGTTGTTTGCAGTCACTGGGGCTAAGCTAGCTAGCATCTTTAATAATACGCTTTGGTGCGTTTCCTTCATTGCACGTATGATTAGCTAGCGACTACCGTTTTAATTGCATTCATCTGTTTCATACCCTGAACAAGATGTGAAGCTGAGCTTATTAGCACTGATTCTCTCCAGATTGTTGAGTGAACTTTATCAGCATTACACAAACAGTGTTAGGAATCTGCCTTGATGAGCCGAGCCACAACAAGACACACATGACAACATTCAATGCAAAATGTGTCATGATGAAACATGAGATCATTTTAAAGGTTTTGGTGCATGTATTGATGCTGCCTGGGTGCAGTCACTGTCATAAAGGTTTAGGTCATGGAACAAATGTCTCTGTGCTGTAAACTCACTAATACCTCTGGCAGTTTATGGAGAAAATTTTTAGTTCAGTCAGGCCAGCTACTTCATTCATGCTCAACAATCACTGGTTCATTCATCAGCTGTTTGGACACTGTTAGGGTCCAACCATGTTTATTCAGGTGTTGAATGCAGCCACTATAGTTTACTATAACTCTGCTGATATGCAAATGCGAACGCCATTGGCTCCACCACGCCAACTCCTCCTTATGTGCTAATTGTTTGGTATTTAGATTTAATGTTCATATTTTGTCTGTTCAGAGGGGTGATTACTTCTCCCAGCAGAATCCCTGCTGTTTAGCATAGGCCTATTTTCAAACCTATAATTTGTTTGCTCTGGTTCACATCAGTGGATGAGTAGCATCACTGAAATCCATGTGCGATTATACACTCTTCTCATTGGTTAGATGTGTCTAGAGCAGAGTGAGTAAGTAGACACAGGAAGAAGGTTTTATCTGCCCAGATATCACGAAGGCTATACTTTTCTTATATCAGCTGTTGGTTTTGCTCACCCACATGCTCATGTGTAATAAGCACCTGGTTATGTAAGCGGTTTAGCTCAAACTACAAATGCCTTAGTTTGACCAGATTTAAATCGCACCTTTTTCTCATCACAGACAGCTTGCTCGAGAATTTGTTTGCGACCGGACTGAGAGCAATTCTTCGAAAGGGTCTCATTTTGAAAACATCCTTAGAGAACGGTCTCAAACAAAAACCAGCAGCACAACCTTTTGTTATAAATGGTCAACTTTACGCCCAAATATTCAGCACACCTTCGTATACACACCTCTGATTTAGCTTGAGACACAATAGCCACACTAGCGAGCTGATCAGCCGCCTCAAGGACAGTGTGAATGAAGCAGCCAGTTTCCTTTTGTCTGTCTGAGGCTTGTCAGGTAGTGGACTTTTCTCTCTGCTGCCTCTCACTCACTGTCACTTTGAGTTATAAGTCTGACTGCGGGCTGGCTGCTGGTGGACATCTGCAGTAACAAGAGTTGAAAGGACTCATATGAACACTGTGGTCCACTCTCAAGTATTACCAAAGGGCAGCTGATTGTTGTTCCCTCATAGACTGGAGGGAAATGATTTGAGACCTTGAGTTTAGCATTTTTATTGATTCTGTGTTGTTGTTCCTGGTGGAGACCAGGGAGCTGCTGAGGTGAAATCTCATCAAGGAGAAATAAAGTTTTATTAATTCTATTTGACAGTGTCACTTTGTTTGAAGTTTGCATTAGTTTGTCTTTGAGTCAACTTTTCTTCTGCAACTCTTAACAAGTCAAACTCTATTTCCTGCAGGGCGTTGTGCACACTGTGCTGCAGTAGAGCGCTATTTAAAGTAGTTGTAACTGTCCATGGGTAACAGGAGAACTGCTTTGTTCTTCAGGGCGTTGCAGGAGCCAGGAAGTGGCTGTACCAATCCAAATCAAATATTCATTTTGTTATTGTGTGGTGAATGCTGAATACAGCACTTGGCCTGTTGCCTCCTGGAGATGGGGCGTATTTAGATTCTCTTTTAGCACAGTTAGGGTCTAATGCATCATGACATGTTTGGGTCATAGTGACGACAGCAAGAACAAAAAAACAGAAGGGAAAAAAAGTGTGTGCTAACTTAAGAGGAGGTTGCTTAGCAGTTAAGAAGATGAGTTGTTTCAGTTTTGTTTGCAGATATTTGTCTGTAATCATTCCTTTTGTACTGAAGATTCACTCTTTAAAGCAGTGACAACAAAATCAGAGTGCTTTGTTCAATATTGAGGCTGTGATATAAATTATGTCTTTGGACAAAAAAAAAAAAGAGTATTTTTTCAGTGATTACTAAATAGGATGCCTGAGCTGAATGACATCCAGTGGTTAGAATTTGAACAGTTATAATAAACGTACAGATTGTCCCTGACTTGCAGCTCAGGGTTCAGCACAAAATGAGAACTTCTTCCATCAAAATCTTCTTCCATCAGAATTGTTTGGAATAAATCAGAATAATGATGATGGGCAGTGATAGGCACTGTGGCTGAACAGACGGAAAAGACTCAAAAGAGACTATACAGATAATAATAGCCTCAGATTGCTTTAGATGAATTGCTTGCTGGAAGTTTAATAGCATTTGAAACTTTGAAACTTTGAAACGATGTAATCAGATGGGACTGCATGCAATAACTGCACACAATCCCATTAGACGTAGCAGTTGGCCAGGTGTGGTGAGGTGCACTGTTATCCTCATTTCACTCACTCAGATCTTGTGGAATAATGTCGAATATGCACAGCACTGATATTTGGCTCTAACTGTGTCACTCCCCACAAGGAAGCAGCACAGCAGGGAGTGGGAAGTGATGATAATAACTTGAGAACAGTTATGAGCAGTTTTTGTCTTTAAATAAATTTGATAGAGATGTCCCGTGTCCTCAGGATCAGGGCTGATCCAGGCACATTTTAAAGGACAGGTATCTGCTAAAATAAACCTGATCAAAGTCTGTTCCTGTCTTTACTGTCCTTGACTCCACCTCAGCCTGCTCTTTCAAAGCTGTTCTCCTTTATAGCTCCGCAGCATTTCACTACATACACAAGTGAAAATTAGACTTTGTGAATACAAAAAGTATAGGCAGTGGTGCAAGTTAATTCTGACACATAGGTTTGCAAAAATGCACGCACTTTTGAACCAGGAGCTTCAATATTTGGATTGAGTAGCTTGTCAAAATAAGGTGTGTTAAATTGAGTAGTCCACAGCTGACATTCCAGGTACATACTTCATCAATATTCAGGTAAATGTAAGTATCAGATCAGACTTAGAATTAGCAAGTAACCAACATTAAAGAACTTAGTACGAGATGGGCCTCAAAACCAAGATATCCTAATCAAGGTTCCACACTAACTTTTTCACTGGTTGCACTGGTGCAACCAACTTTCTTAGTTCCACAAGAGTAGGTCTTTTTTTTAAATATAGCCTATTTCTTCATGAAGGAGGCTCTGAGGCTTCCTCTTCTTTAATTATGTTAAACAAAAATGTAAAATTATATAACTATATTTTTGTAATGAGGTACAAAATTACATTCCTTTTTGTAAAAGCATACTAACCTAAAAACCTGTTAATGAATCATGAGGAAGTTGCAGAGTGACAGAGACACAGAGCATCAAGATAACCAATAGTACTCACTCACACACCTTCCTGCATGCACATGGCCCGAGAGGAGCAGCAGAATGGGAATAAATCACAATAACAGATTCAAGGATATTTCTCACTTTGCCTGATAGTCTGAAGAACTCTCTGTTTCTCTTTCGTGTCTGTCCATGCGCTGTCAACATATTATTGTGCGGGGACCTTAAAGTTACCACGGAGCAAAATGACTTTTACATCAAATTGTGCTATTTGTGCAGTTATAGAGACTGTGTATGCTACTCATATGCTGTTAGGTTTACTGTGAGACTTGAAAAATACTAGTGTGATATGACTATTTGATATTGAAGGACATGGAGCTCAGCTTCGGCGGGCCCCGGCCCAATTTAACCCCTGGCGCTGTTATAGGCAGAGTTTAATTTGACCATTTCGTTCTCCCCCTTTAAAGAAGTGGGGAGGGACTCAGACTTTGGGGTGATGCACCGGCTCCGGCAGGTTTTGTGCTTAAATTGCTGGAGTTTAACCTTAAATTGCATTGAATTGGTAACAAGTTTAGAGTTGTCTGCAATGAACGGGCCGCATTGCTTACTACGCACACAATGTAG